CTGTCATTACAGTTGTAGAAATATTTCACCCTCACAAAATAAGACTGGGGAGAGGCAAACACAAAATGTACTGCCATCCAGTCTATTCATGTTGCCATATCAACTTGACTTTCCGCTTTTCTACTATATGATTGCCTTCTAGATTATCACTTACATTTACACACTAGTTTTAATCTATGTTATTCAAGTTCTATCTGGTGACTCAAGCCATTTATATAATAAATCCCATCATCCAGTTGCCTTTTGAATTGGACAGTCTTTCAGCACTTCTGATAAGATATTCATTTCTGCCGCTTCCTTTATCTTCTCAATAAGCTCCTCTTGTTCCAGTATCACCAATTTCTTCCAATTCTTGGCATAAAGAATTCTGGCTGCAGTGACTATGTATATAACTAAGTAGTTCTTTGTCTTATCTCTATTGTCTAGTATAATACTCAGTAGAAACAGTTCTGGGGTTAGTAGAACCTTACAAAGCAATATTTTTTGCAACAGAGCATGTACACCTAGCCAAAATTGCTTCACTACAAGTCGACCACACATGATAAAAACTTCCCTCATATGCTTCACACTTCCAACAAACATTTGATACATCTATATAAATCTTTGATAGTTTTTGCGGAGTCATATGCCACCTATAGAACATCTATCTATGTATATATAAGCAGGGAAAGGACCTGGAGTAAGGCTTGCCCCATAAAATTTCAGTCTGGCATATAATCATATTACCAGTTGAGTATCTCTTATCCAAAAATACATGCACAAAATTATTTTAAAAGTTTGCATAAATTATCTGGCTTCAAGCCATGTGTACAATGTATTACTTTAATACTTTTTTCCATTTACTAGAGTTCATGGGTTTTTTTCAATTAAAGAGTGTTTGTATCATTGAAAGCTCTGTTGTTGTGTATTTATTTTAAGGGAAAATGTGTTGATTACTTCAGACAACTGTATGAGGTGTTTTTTCTAAACTAAAAATCTCAGTATTCAGGTTTAATTGCAGTGTTGGCACTTCGAAAGAAATAATTTGGGTTTGTGTTGCAGTTTGGGCACTCGGGCTCAAAAGGGTTCCCCATCACTGCTCTAGATGGCTGGATTCATTAGAGGAGAAAGCAAGCATATTATATACTAAGAATACTGCAAAATCGGCACCCAGCATTTTGAGGTGAATTTGAAATAAGCAACATGGTCTCTGGATGCAAAGAGAGAAAAGACAATTGTCAAAATCCTGTCATGTAACTTTTCATCAGGCACAATTCGGATCAAACATGAAGGCATTTAGTTTCAAATACCTGAAATAAAGTCATACAGCATAGCAGCAGGACCTGTTCTTGGTCATCCCAAAGAGCTGGGCATGTAATAATGGATTCCAGTTATAAGAAGCCAGATTTGAACAGATTTTAGGAAAAATCTCTAGAGCCGTACAACAATAGAAACAATTTCCTTGGGAGATGAGGAGTGCTCCAGCGCTGGAGGCATTCAATAGAAATTAGAATAATCATTTGTCAGATCTGTTTTAATGCGGAATCCTGCACTGAGCAGTGGTTGAACTCCATGGCTTCATAGCCCCTGTTCCAACTCTATTATTTTATGATTCTATGATTGACATTAAATGAAAGTTTCCTATCTCCCCATTTTGGTTTTTGAGTCTCCCTCAGGCTCCTTTCTGCTTTGTCAAACGCTTTGGCAGTTTCGGAATGGGAAGGGCCTTTAGAAGTCAAATATCACTACTGGAGATTGATTTCATTCATTCATTCATTCATTCATTCATTCATCCATTCATTCATTCATTCATTTATGAATTTAAAAACTCCCACCATCCATCCAAAGACTCCCAAGGACATTCCCAGGACAAAAGAGAGCCCAAGGGAGCCTCAGAACATAAAATGGGAGAATAGGAAACTTTCAGTTAGTGCAAAATGAATTATTCCAGTGCTCTGCCTGAATTGCACCTGGCACAATGTTCTGCAACAGATTCTGCTAAATTTCCTGCAGAATACAATTTGTGCACGTTTTTTTGCCTTGTTCGCCATGGAAGAATTTGGAATACAGTAAGGAAAATTGACAGAGCTCACTGTAGCACTCCTCTCTCATATCCTGACTCACTTTGTCTTCTCACTTGACTATTTAAGTATTTAGGTAATAGTCTCTTTCAAAAATCACAGAAATAAAAATGTTTTTATTCTTGTATAATATTCTGCCTTCTTCTTTCCCTATGTGTGTGCATTTGCCCCTTCACTTAGTGCCTTACAACATCATCCACCTAGCCAACCATCAGAGACTGGACTCAGAAACACTCAGCATGAATAGGGCTAATAAGGTTTTTATTGAAATAACAGTGTCAAAAGAACATTGTTTATTCCTTGGCTTTCAGTTTATTCAGCATAACTCTTCAAGGTTTTTACTATATTTTCATCTCAAACTCTTTCTCAGAGCACGCAAAAACAGACGTAGACTCATCTCCCCCAGACACCACTGTCTCTCTCACAGTTCCTCCCTCTCCTTAGCTATCAACTCTCCCAATTGATCACAAGCATTTTTGCCCACATTCCATGGTTCTAATTCACCCCCGTTATCATATATTCACCACACCTATGGATTTCTAAAAACATACCCTCAAAATACAAAATGCAAACTATACATTTAAAAGTAAATAGGCATTTTGTTCACAAACATGAACATATAACAAATATATGCATAAAATTCTTCAAATCACACCACCAGACAATCCAAACTTCAAAAAAGTGCCAGTCAGAGCAAGCAAGCTTCAGTTTATTCACGAAGGCTTTCACGGCCGGGATCTAATGGTTGTTCTGGGTTTTTCGGGCTTTTAGGCCGTGTTCTGAAGGTCGTTCTTCCTAACTTTTCGCCAGTCTCTGTGGCCGGCATCTTCTCCTTAGCACAACAATACACCCACAACAATACACACTAATCACCCATCTACAGAAAAAGACAAAAGCCTATCTCACAGCCATAAATACTGCACTCCCAAGCCAACTACACCAGAGCACAAGTTGCTGTCCTCAGAAGATGCCGGTCACGGAGACTGGCAAAACGTTAGGAAGAACAACCTTCAGAACACGGCCTAAAAGCCCGAAAAACCCAGAACAACCACAAGCTTCAATTGTTTGAGAATTTTACATTACTGCACAATGGGATTGAAACAATCCCTCCAGAATGCAACATAACAAAAAGATAATGCTTATGATCATAGCAGTACTATGAATATGAAGGCAGAGTTGATTATTCATTAATGTCTCACATTATACCAGTCAAATGACATGACAGTTTTTAAGAAGATGATCCAGTAGATAAATATTCATTTCTTAAAAACAAATTAAAAGAAAAAGAAAACAAAAGATAGCACCCTCTGGTCTATAGGAATGTAAAGACTTAACATGAGATGGATTGGATCAGTAAAGGACATATGAAGGCAGAGTTGATTATTCATTAATGTCTCACATTATACCAGTCAAATGACATGACAGTTTTTAAGAAGATGATCCAGTAGATAAATATTCATTTCTTAAAAACAAATTAAAAGAAAAAGAAAACAAAAGATAGCACCCTCTGGTCTATAGGAATGTAAAGACTTAACATGAGATGGATTGGATCAGTAAAGGACGGCATGGTTGTTAGTTTGTGAGATCTGGCAGAAATTATTGGAAAGGGCAAAGGACGGGGGGCAGGAGAAAGAAAGAACAATTTAATGTAGATGTTGGTTTACAAAATCTGAGCAGATTTGTTATTGATAGGACATTTTGGAGATCATTAATTCATTTAGTCACCACACCGTAAAAGTGACTTGATGACACATAGCATCTTTTAATTTTTTTCCCCACCATTATTAAACAATTGTGATAAGATCAGTGGAATAGGCACCTACTAACATTGAGTAAGACCATCCCCACTCAATCAAAAGGCAGCAATTTCACAGCTTAAACAAGTGAGCTTCTGAACATTTGTTCTCTATTCTTTTTAAAGCATATTTTTAAATATGTTTACAATCAGGTTAAGTATTTCTTTTTAACTGATGCTTGGCCAGAGAGGAATCAAAACATTCTCCTTCTGAGAATAATTTACTGGCAGGGTCAAAATTTCAGTTCACCCCAGAGCTGGTGGAACAATAAATGTGCCACTGTAACAGTCACTGTTTTTTGTTTTTTTGTTTTTTCTTACTGAAATCATTTTTTAAAGCTTCAGTATTTTACCCCCTGCAGCCTGGATTCATTTGAAGTTTTAAAAAAGGTGGGGCCAACCATTCTATTTCGAGATAAGCAAGACTGGTCTTTGCAATTTACTTTATCTATTTAAAATGTGCCGGGGGGGGGGGGCTTATTTCTGCACAGGGGGGTAATACAATTTTACATTTTTTAAAAAAATATACCTCAGAAACTCTTTGTTCAAATGTCTCCAAATATAGCATACAAGAACAGATGGTCTGCTACATCTGTGCAGAATTTGGTGCTGATTAAAAGTCAAGTTTCAAAATTATAATGGTTTGTGGTGCACCCATTTTTAGAATTGCCTTGTAGAACCAAGTTTCAAAATTATAATATTTTGTTTCTGCTGCACCCATTTTTAGAATTGCCTTGTAGAATGTTGCTTTGCTCTACTGCACAGTATCTATATCTGCACCCCTGTATACCAATAATGCAGTACTTAAGCTCTATTCTTTGTCTTTAAAATGATAGTAGTACAGCTCTGTGTGTATATAACCTGCTGTAGAACAGAATTGAAAAACCGTTCTTTATGGAAGATAGATTTTAAAAAGAGAGAGAGAGAGAGATCCTTTACAGCACTGGTTCTTAACCTTGGGTTACTCAGGAGTTTTGGACTGCAACTCCCAGAAGCCTTCACCACCAGCTGTCCTGACTGGGGTTTCTGGGAGTTGCAGTTCAAAAGCATCTGAGTAACAAAGGTTAAGAACCACTGCTTTACAGAACAAGGTTAAATAGAATCCACAGGAGAGTATCTTAATCCTAATATTTTGGATATAGCTTTTTTTATCTCCTTGTTTCTTAAACTATATATTATTGGGTTCACTAAAGGAGGAAGCATGGAATATAATATAGTCATTGCCAAATCAAGTTGTGATGGGGAATTATAGGAGGGCTTGATATAAACAGAAGTTACTGTAAAGACAAATATAGAAAACACAAGGAGGTGGGGAAGGCAAGTTGAGAAAGCTCTTTGCCTTCCCTGCACTGAGGGTATTTTTAGCACTGCAATGAATATGTGCACATAAGTCACAAGGATGAAAATAAAACACCCTACTTCAACCACAGCACTTAACAAAAGAAGTCCAACTTCAATTAGGTACAAGTCAGAGCACGTAAGCTTTAATAACTGTGGGAGTTCACAGAAAAATTGGTTGATAATGTTGGAGCAAAAGGGGGCTGCAAAGGTGCCAGCAGTATGCAGTATTCCATAAAGAAAGCTTCCAATCCAGACAACAGCAATCATTTGAAGGCAGGCTTGCTTGTTCATCAACATTTCATATTGCAATGGTTTGCAAATAGCAACATACCGATCATATGCCATAACGGTGAGAAGAAAGAAGTCAGATGTCAGAAAGAAGACATAGAAAAGCACTTGAGCCACACATCCAGCATATGAAATCTGTCTACTATCCTGGATGGAATTTGCCATGGATTTGGGGAAAATGACAGAAACTTGTCCTAAATCCTGTATGGCCAAGTTCATCAGGAAGAAGTGCATAGGGTTATGTAAGTGGTCGTCAGTAGCTACCGCAATCATAATGAGAATGTTTCCTCCAAATGTTGCCAGATAGTAAACAACGAAGACAATGAAGAGTAGAACCTGAAACTCATGAATCTCTGAGAATCCCAAGAGAAGAAAGTGTGTGACAGAGGACTGATTCTTAAGGTTTGGTTCCTTAAGATGCATGTTGGTTTCCTGTGGAAAGAAGCAGAAGCACATATGAGAACAGCAGCTTCATTATTTGCAATTGCTAGAGGTTTTGTTCTTGTGGTGGTTTAGGTTTTTGCTATTTATAAAAAATCTAAATATCTGTTAAAGATGATGATGACTGCTAGTTTGCTTACCTTGTAGGTCTCGTTCTCTGTGAATTCTCCAATCATCTGATTTCAAGGGAACAAAGTAGCTTGTCAGTAAAGATTTCAGTTTAAAAGGAGAACTCATAAGGTTATATCCCACAATGCAATGAACTGTACTTCTGTTAAGATTTTTTTAAAAAAAATACTACCCAAGAAGTCCAGAATAAACAACCCTTGAACCTCTGACATGTCTATGAGAAGAAAAAATGACTAACTGAATCATGCTCCTTACCAAGGATGCTTCCTATGAGAAGCAAGCAGGAGTGTAATTACAGTTGGGCTTATCAGAGTAGTAAGTCTGGCTGCAGTACCTGCACTTTTAGTATGAAACTGACATTATTGTTGCTGTTATTACTATTACTATTGCCACTCTATTTTTCTGAATCTTAGTTCTGTTTAGGATGTGCAGATATAGAGCCATTGTTTGACATCTGTAAAAGACTGGATGAGCCAATAAATTGAAGTTGAATTCCAACAAAATAAATAAATAAATAAATAAACAAGATGGAGGCTCTGTAGTTCTTTAGTTTTATGTTTGGAAATTGGCTAGATGACCTGTTCTGGATGGGGTCTCAATCATGAAGGAGAAGGTGTGTAGAATGAGGATACTCTTGAATCAATTTCTTTTACTCAGACTTACATGAGGTCAGAGGCCCTGAGTGTTTACAGTCCAGCATGAATTGGCCTGTTAGCCCCGGCTGTTTCTGTACAAGGAAAATCTGATGATGGAATTTCACAATCTCATAGCCTTCAAGCTAGACCAGTGGTTCTTAACCTTTGTTCCATGGAATTTCACAATCTGATAGCCTTCAAGCTAGACCATAATAAAAAACTTTATAAATACCATGAAAATTACATAGATGATGGAGCAGATATACTGTTTCCTCAAATATCTTTCAGAACCCATGACACTGATTCTAAGAATCACACCAACTACCAATTCATATCCAGTCCAAGTGTAAGCTGTTGGTGATGACTAATAAAGTACTAAGTGGCTTAGAAATACAATATTTAAGGGGATTCTCTCCCTTTATGGATCTGCCTGCTCATCAACATCCTCTGAGGAGGTGATAGAAGTGTGAGTCAGTAGTAATGTTCAGAAACAGCTAATGCATTTCTTTTTTTAAAAAAAAAAATTATAAATATTTTACAGTTTTTTACATCTCATGCTGCCTAGAGAATTCTGAGGGATGTAGTCCAAAAACACAGACCTGTACATCATCATATTTACAGGGGAATAAACCTGAGGTTTAAAACATTTTTATGTGGGACAAAGGGAAACTGATAGATTTTCCCTACTTTGGAAAACATGTTATTTAAGGATATTGATAGAGAAAAATAAGTAGTAGAACATATTTTTGCAGCAAGAACAGTCAAGAAAATCCTGAAGTAAAAAGGTAGGAATTACTTACTGCTTTTCTTCATGTACTTCTCTCAGCTTCAGATACATGTTCTCTTCTAGTGGTATTCAATATCCCTATATAGTAGGTAACAAGTGAGAGATACCCTTTAATATATCCTTCTTCTTTCGTCCAGCAAGAGAGGAGTATTTCAGAGGGGAGACTTGTTAATATTTTCTTAGTGCGCCTTGAGATGTGCTCCTATGGGAAGCCATCCTAACTCAGAAACAAAGGTTCAAAGATGAAATTATTGTCCAATATGTACCAATTAGCTGGCTTCCTCTGATTCCAAAACCTCCTTATATTCTGCCAGGCAGAAGATAAGATATGGAGATGGCTAGATTAATATCATCAAGGAACATCCACAGATACTTATCCAATATAAGAAGAAGGATGAGAAGAGAAGTGTTATTATACTGAGAGGAACAAAGAAGTCACTAATGAGCTATCAACTATATGCATCTCCCTGAAATCCACTTTACAAAATGGGACTGTGCCCCAGAAGCAATTTGCATAAAAATTGGAAACTTCATTTTCACATTGTTTGCCCAAAGACACCTAATCCAAAATAATGGTACCACTTCAGTTTCACCAGCCCCATGAACCGAGAGTTACCAGCTCACCAAAAGTCCTCAGAGGTGTTTTCACTCCCTCACAGGTGAAGGCCTCCTTAGTGACCCCCCATTTTACATCATTTTTGTTCCACAGCCAGCCTGTTTGATATTGTCCCACCTATCAGCGGTTCAGCAGAAAAACATTGTGTTTTAATGGTGAATTGGTGAATATTCATCAATTTATCACTAAAATTTGGTGCTTTGTCACTTAGTCCATTTGTCAACTTTGACTAATGCTGAATCCCAACAAAGCATCATTTTTTTTATTCGTCCACATGAAGGAAACCTCAATCTCTTCCACCTCTTTTAGAAACAATCATTAGCCCCTGGAGCAAGCATCCACTTGCAGAATAGCCAGATCGGTGGTAATAGAAATCCAGTTGAGCCTCAGGGTATCTAGCACTTTGGAGGAGCAGGGTTGATAGTTTCAAGGGGAAGGGAAATGCCATAGCTTCTCTTGGTGGCCCAGGTTGTCTAGGAAGGCAAATCACTAAAATTCATGCACAGCTCACTGTTACTGAGAGGACGGGAGAAGTAGGCCAATTATGTGTTTTCCTGGGCTGCATTTCCCATAACAAGAAGAATGCACTGGAAGACATATAATGCAACAGGTAAATTACTACACCTGCTGCTACAAAAGCTAGATCCATATGGGATCCCATGAGGGAAGGAGGCACTAGCAAGCCATAAAGAGTTAGAGGTAGGGCCACAATTTGGAGTGTACTATGCAAGATCCCCCTTGTGCATCATAATGGACATTTGAATGTCTCTCTCCATTGAGCTATCTAGGCTAGCTGACATGCCTTTCTCTTTGTCCATACATGGAGTCCAGAGATTCTTAACAGGGGAGTTTTAAAGAGAATGCTAAAATTTTGTGCACCATTCTAAATGCCTCCTGGGGTAACAGGGCCTAGATCTAATTGTCCCCCACTAGCCAGTTTTCATGAAGTCTCAGAACTGCTATGCTGATGTTTCCTGGAAACCTGTTATCCAGCTCCAGATGCAGGGTAGGGAAGAGAAGGGTTGGTTCCCATTTGTCCATCACAATCTTGCAGGGGGAAAATTGCTTACAAAAAGGCATTTAGTATAAATGACTGGTTGATGTGTACCCATAATATGACAGCACTGAAACATAACATTGCATCAAGTGCATAAAGTTTTCAAAGTAGGGAACTTTATGCACTAAAAGGAAATTTCATATGTCTATCTTGGTAACACTAAAGATTTTTTTAAAACAACATATTTGTCAAACCATCTCACAGACATGGGTGGAAAGCCACTTTTTTATATACATTTACCCATAGATTTCCGTAATTTTAAAGATATTTATTGTGTTTCCCCCATTGAAAGAGATGGGATCTGTTAATTTCTTCGGCTCCAACTAACTGTAATTGACCTGCTCAATTTTGGCTTCAAAGGAGTAAATGATGGGCTTGAAAATTCAAGATGGAGATTCCATGGGGTAACATCAGTGCTGTATGTAACAATGATGGGCTTGAAAATTCAAGATGGAGATTCCATGGGAAGTGACATCTCCTGAAATGTCTTCTTGAAACAGTTCCTAAAAAGATATCCACCTGTTAGAATTGAGGACCTTTTCCAAATGTTTTTCACCACTATCAGATGGATAGTGTGCTTCAGATATTGCTTATAGTTCCACCTAACTGCACAGCCTGCTTGTCCTCCTATATGGGCTTGAAAATTCAAGATGGAGATTCCATGGGAAGTGACATCTCCTGAAATGTCTTCTTGAAACAGTTCCTAAAAAGATATCCACCTGTTAGAATTGAGGACCTTTTCCAAATGTTTTTCACCACTATCAGATGGATAGTGTGCTTCAGATATTGCTTATAGTTCCACCTAACTGCACAGCCTGCTTGTCCTCCTATAGTTAAAGTAGGTATCAGTCCTTGAGTTTGTGAGGAAAATGTCTCAGCACAACCAGGTGAACAACAGGTGAAGCAGCTGTTTCTTTTCCATCCATCCAATGTTATTCCTTCCTTTGTTGGGACAGATACTTCTAGCACTGTATGAGCCTCCTGATCTTCAGAACAATAGGGGAATTGCTATCCAAACCCCGAAATAAAGACGCGAGACAAAGATATGGATTAAAATGGGCCACACTTTATTGATAACATCAAATGCAGAAATTGCCATCCTTTGCCAAAAAGAAGGGGCCTGTTGTAGTGTGGAAACAGGTGAAAAGCAGCGGTGTGCTGATACCCCTTGTTCAAGAAATCGGTGAGTCCCTGGCCCCAAGTTCCAGCAGTCTCCAGACAGTTTCTTTATCTGCTAATTGTGCTTCATTTACTTGATCTTTGATTTAACTGTTTAATTGATTGTTCCCTTAGCTTCTCTTGAATGCAGGGGGGTATACTTTTGTATTAACCACCCCCCCTTTGGCTTCGCAGCTTGCGGGGGGTTGTGGTTTATGTTCCCTTATTTATTGCTACTTTTGCGGCACCTGCCATTTCTTCTTTGGACAAAGAAGAATGACCTATATAGCTATTTCGGCCAAGTTGAGCAAACTTGAGAGGAAAAGGGGCCTTGCCAGGGAGACTTCTAGAGCTTCTACATCCAGGAGATCAAGAAGGGAATCTAAAGTGTGTAAGATGGCTGAGCTCAAGCAATTAGGTGATGTTATGATATCGCACTTCGCTCCCTTGGAAAAAGAATGTTCCACAGCTCCAGGGGCATTGGAGGTGACTTCTGTAGTGGGTGCCTCTCCAGACGTTGCCAATGGAACGCAGGAGCAAGGTTTGCAGGAGGTTAGGGTGATGACACCAGACCAGTCCTGGGACCAACTGACAAGTGAG